TTTTTTTTTTTTTTTTTTTTTTTTTTTTGTAGCCACAGCTTTTATTTGGCCTGGATAAACATAATAGCACTGACTTTTATTTCCTCTGAATAATTTTATCCAATATTGCTACTTGTATGAAAAAAATTGCGTGCTTGGATAATTGGTCTCTGTCTGAATTCAGGGCATTGACATGAGTTTGAATTTAGGAGGTCAGTATTTGAATGAATATGAGGGATGCCCTTGTTCAAATACTTAGCTGCATCTTCATCATTAGTGACTTCCTTTTCAAGTGAAGGAAGATATCGTTTAACAGACGTTAAAAGCAGATAAAGAGAATTTGAATGAAAAGCTAACTGGAGAAAAGTTTCTCAGAACTATCCAGCTAACCTGAGTAAAGTCATCAGTGATATCAGAGGAGAAAGTAGACCGTTCAGTTGTGGGTGAGTGTAACAGCAAATATTAGTTGCCCCGGGGTATTTTATTGTTCTCCTGAAGCTCTGAACACTTGAAATTTACTTGAACAGTATCTGAAATAGTAGAAGTGCTCAATCCCACAGATGAAATAGATTCACTGCTCTTTAAATCAACCAAACTGCATCCTGACTTTTTTCTATGCACCATAAAATTGTTTTCAGTGAGACATATATCACATCTGGGTTCATTTTCAGCTCTAAAACTACTTTAGAATTGTTAGAAACATCTCACAACTAGAAGCTGCGTTGAAAAATTGTTTGGTGCTTTGGTCTTTGTACTTTTTTGTATAAAACGACATCTAATTGTGTGTTCTGTTTTTTCTAAAAGGGACTTGAGAGCTGTTTAAAAGGCCCTGATAATTATAACAGCCAAGTTCTAATTGAAGCCACAGTTATAGCACTCACCAAGCTGCAGCCACTTCTTAATAAGGTAATTAACATGGGAGGGCTATAGCGTGTTAAATTTTCTCACAGAAAATGAAGAACATGTTCTCTAAATAAAAACTCTAAGCATGTATCTGACCTGAAAAATAACTGTGTAACTGAGGCTCTCACTGGCAGTATTCCTGTTCCTCTACTCTAAAAGTAAGCCAGGTTTAAGGGCAGATACGAAACACTGCTGGTTTGTGTTTGTGACCTTGTGTGAAGCGGAATTACAGCTTAAAGAAGTGGGTACCATGGTTAACAAATGGTCTGTAACAGTCTTTTCTAATGTCTTTTTTAACAGTCACTAATGACTGTTACTGTCTAACAGTTTTTTTTAACATTCATATATGTGACTGCTGGCACAGGTCTGCATCAAAGCTTGTAATAAATATCAGTCTCATTTGACTTGAAATGTTTTGGCCATTTGTATACTTCTTTCAAGTTCATGACTTAGTCAGCACACACAGTGCGCATACAGTTATGAATCTCTTTAAAACTTTCCTTCGGAATTGTATTGGCGCACACTGCTTAAAAGGGGATGCATCTGAACATGGGGTGAGCTTCCCGAACCTGGAGATTATCAGAGGTGAATGTGGCTGGATAGAGTTTGTTTTGATTGCAAGTGAGTTTACTAATTAAATTTCCATTCATTATTATTCTCCCCCGCCCTGACCTTGTTTATTTTATATACAGATGCAAGTAGTCTCTATGCTAATCCTCTGGTGATTTTCCTCTCTGATATTTCAAGTCCTGCCTTCGTAACTTTGTATAAGCAGCATTGTCTGAGCCATCTGGATGACATTTAAATAGCACTTATAATTAACAGTGAGTTCCAGCATTCACAGTTCTACCATAGTACATTAGCCTTAGCTTCCTTTCCTAGTGTTGATATATCTTGAATGTCATCCAGATGGACTTAGTAGTAAGAGTTCGTACAAATACAAATGCTAGTAGTACTGTAGTGGTAAGAGTTTGTGCTAAAGCCAGTGAAGGTCACATAGGCTTTAAACATTTGGTTCCATTTCATTTCACTTTAATTATCTACTCTGCCTCACTGAAATATGTGCCTAGTGACTTAATCCTAATCCTGCGAGCCCTCTATGCTTGCCTCTCCATTCTGAAGGTGGTGTCATGCAGAGAGGATCTGGATAGAGATCCCCAATATATTTGTCATCAATGAGGAAGACCTATTCTTAATAAGAATGGCTGCATTTGGGAGTCGTAGAATTTTTGTTGAATGCCACCTTTTTTTACTATGCCTTTCTGATTGGATAGCAAATGACCAGGTTAAATTTGCTGCAGCGCTGTGTGGTCTTTTTACAGAATCTATATTTGATAACAAAAAGAAATGATTGCTGCCCAGGCTAATGGAATGCAGTTGCTATATCTGTTTGAAATGTTTGCGATTCAAAGGGAGGGAATGAATGGGAAAGCACTGGTCACGAGAGTGGTTGCAGCTGATTCGGTAGACGTGTGCCTTGGATATGCAGATGCAGAGAGAGTGCTCATAGGGACACAGTTTATTTTGTTCTCAGACTGGATGTGATTAAAGGGAGACACCACCATCAGACGTCAAAGATAGTTTAACAATGCAGGTCATATCCAAGATGACTGATATGTATACACCTTTGTCATTTTTGTCACATTCTTCATTTACAGAAACAGATTTGAAATGAAAATCGTGGCAAATTTTTTTTCCCCCCCTCTAGGACTCTCCTATGCACAAGGCTCTCTTCTGGGTGGCAATGGCAGTGCTGCAGCTAGATGAAGTTAACCTGTATTCTGCAGGTACAGCACTACTTGAACAGAATCTCCATACCTTAGATAGTCTTCGGGTATTCAATGACAAAGTAAGTGAGCTGTCCCTTATTAAACTCTGACTAACCTTTAATGTTTTGTGCATCTGTAGCTTGGACAGCAGCTGGATCAGATATTGGCTTCCTCACTGAGTGGTGGCATAGCAAGGAGTACTGAAGGGATGCCAAGTACTCTGACTTGCAGGAAATCAATTCCCAACATCTAT